CCCCCCCCCCCCCTCCTGCTCCGCCGCCGCCCAGGGACGCGTCCGAACGAAGACGGTGAAGAAGGCGGCGCGGGTGATCATCGAGAAGTACTACACCCGCCTGGGGAACGACTTCCACACCAACAAGCGGGTGTGCGAGGAGATCGCCATCATCCCCAGCAAGAAGCTGCGCAACAAGATCGCGGGGTGAGGCGGGGGGGGACGTCGAAAGTGATCTCGGCCTCGGCCGTGGCCCGGTCATCGATAGTGCAGGGAGAGGAACGCCGAGAGCCTTCCCGTGTTTGGGGGGGGCCTCACCCCCCTCCCAAACCCTGTTGCTGTCGGACACTTCCCCATCCCCCGGAGGTGGCGGGACATCTCCCGGGGTTTGGTGGTGCCGCATCACCCGGGCTGGTGGTGGGACAACGCTAGGCTTGATGGTGGGATACCTCTGGGACATGGTGGGACATCACCTGGGCTGGTGGTGGGACGTTGCCGGGACTTGGTGGGACAACACTGGGCTCGGTGGTGGGACATCACCAAGGTGGGACCGTGCCACAGCTGCCAGTGGGGGCTCTTCTCCTCAGCCTGGTGTGATTCTGGGAGGATGAGGGTGGAGAAGGGAGAGCTGGGCTGTGGGAGCACAAGGAAACCCTGGATGGTCCTCTCTGCCCCCCGCAGGTATGTCACCCACTTGATGAAGCGTATTCAGAGGGGACCCGTCCGAGGCATCTCCATCAAACTGCAGGAGGAGGAGAGGGAGAGGAGGGACAACTACGTCCCCGAGGTGAGGCTCCCGCTGCACTCGAGTGCCTGCTTTGGTGTCTGTCCTACCTCAAGGTGTCTTCTCTGTTGGTGTCCCCAAATGTCTTTGAAACCAAACCTCAGCCAGGAGGAGCTGAGGAGGGTTTGGGTGATGAGGCAGATTTTGGTCTCATATTAGGGCCCTCTCCCCAAAAGGGCTGCCCGGGGTGGAAGGAGCAGCTGCCTTCCTGCAGTGGGCAGATGATGTCCCTTCTCGATTTTCCTAACTTAAAATGAGGGAAAAATAAATAACTGGATGGGCTGGAGGAGGATGTTTCAGAGTGGCTTAAAACCTGCTGTGCAGCAGGTGTCGCTGGAGAGAGGGACTTGGTGAAACCCCCTCTCCTCTTGGACCTACCTTCACCAGGGGTTGAGGTCTTGCCCCTGACCTCCCTGGAGCTGGTGGTGCAGGGAGAGGAGCTCTGAAAGCATGTCCTGTGTTGGGTGGGTTCAGTCCCGTCCCTCCCAAACGCTTGTACTGCTCTTCCACGTCTCCTTGCTCAACTTGTGGTGGAGCTCCTGGTTTCTGCCCTGCACAAAACCGCTCGGGTCTGTCACCTCGGCTCTCGCAAAACGTCAGTGTTGGGGCTTGGCCACGTGGAAGGTTGTTTCAGTGATGATCTCAGAGGGAGAGGTGGGATGTCACAGGATCCTCAGCAGCACAGAAAGGCGGGTTGATGCTGTCCTCCCACCTGGAGATCTGCCTCAGGAATGCTGTCTCTGCTTTGCCACCTTAGTTTTGTACCCCAGGGAGAGGTGACACACAAGAGACCAGGGCTTGGTCTGACTCCCTCACTCCTCACAGGTAGAATTTACTTGTGAAACCCTGGCAGCTCCGTGCGGATCCTCTCACAGATGCCTCCAAGCCCCAGATGTTAGGTGTCAGCACAGTGCTGACCAGCACAGCTGGTGTCAGGGCTTGGAGGAACCAAGCCCCACCAGTTTGGGGTTACTGTCCCCGTGTTTCACATAATGACCTACCAGCTGAGTTTCAAAGGCAGGATAAGGTGGTGCTGGTGGGAGAGGTCACTCCTGGAGGGACCCTAAAGCAGGGAAGGAGCATCTGTGCTGTACTTGAATGGTCATCCTTCATGGTTTCTGCCAAAAATGTACTGGTGTGATGTAGCTTCTTGGGGAAAGAAGCGTGTGGAGATGGAGGTTTGGGATCTGGAGCAGGTTGGAGGAGGCTGCTCTGGATTTGAAGAGCAGACCTCAGGTCCTGGAGTGGGACAGCCCAGTTGGTCACTTGGCATTGCAGTGGTCAGGCTCCAGCCTTGGGGACCCATGTCACAGGATGAGTGCGAGTGTTGGTGGTGGCCACCAGGACCAGTGCAGTGGTGGATCCAACCCCGTCTCCTCCCAGCCGCCTTGGTGTGGAGCTGGTTAGGCCTCACGTTTCCAGAGACTTGCTATAAGACAGATTCTTCTCCCTGTGTGGGGCTTCTCTGCTTCCCGGTGGCCTCTTGCGGTGTTTTGGCAGGAGATCTGGATCCTCTTGGGGTCCTTGTCCTGTTGCTGGAGCCGTTCCCCACAATGGGCAGAGAGATCTTGTTCGTGTGGAAAAAAGATCTAGGCAGCACTGCATGGGGGGAGGTCCCTTCCAACAGCCCCTTTGTGGTGGGATGGGAGTGGAGTGGGTGTGTAGGGACCCACAGGGATGTGGCTGTGGGTCCTCATCAAACTCTGTCCATCTCTCCTCTGTCCCCAGGTCTCTGCCCTCGACCAGGAGATTATCGAAGTGGACCCAGACACCAAGGAAATGCTGAAACTCCTGGTGAGTGGCCCCAGCTGTCCCCCTGCCCTGTCCCCCGGTGGCATGTCCCCACCAGTGCTCCCGCTGCCCTGAGGGGCTTGGTGGTGTCAGCTGAAGGCTTCGATGCTCTGGGCACGTGGCGGGTGCTGACCCCAGGGCCCCCTCCTCAGCTCTCGCTGGGTGGAGGTGAATGTGGCTTCACGCTCAAAAAGACCAGGTTCCCCTCACCGATGAGCTGACCTCTGCAGCGAGGTGGTCGTGTCCCCTTCTTTCTGGAGACATGAACCCACCCTTCGTGCTACCACGGCACCTTCCCACTCCTCCTGGGGGAGGTCTGTCTCTGTCCTCGGTGGGGCCAGGTGCAGATGGTGGGCAGGGCAGTGTGACCGATCCCCATCCCGTGCTGTTTTCCAGGACTTCGGCAGCCTGTCCAACCTGCAGGTGACGCAGCCCACCGTGGGGATGAACTTCAAAACGCCCCGAGGAGCGCTCTGAGTCGGTCGCTGTATGTCACTTTTCCAATAAACGTGGGGAAACCATCTCAGCCTGCCTTGGTCTTTGGGAGCCTGCGTCCCCCGGGATGAGGAGGGAGGGCTGGTTCCTTGGGGTGCTGCGTCCCCAATATGGGTCTCCAGCGCATCAGAGGGTGAGGAGGACTTGACACCAGCATCTGTGTGGGTCCTCTCCTGGCTGTTTTGGGGTGAGGTGCCAAGCTGTTATCTTACGGGCTCTCCTGCGGGATGCAGCCAGGAGAAGACAACAGTAGTGGCTCCTTGGAGCTTGCTGGAGCTCCTGCCTACACCTCCTTCTGAGCGGTCAGCCGTGCCAGAATAAAAGTTGCTTTTTATGACTGCAGTGGTCACTTTTAAGTGCTTAAATGAAAGGAAAAAGTCTTGCTGATAGTTTTCTATGTATGAGGGGAGTGAAGAGAAAGCTCCGGGGAGACCTTATAGCGGCCTTTCAATACCTGAAGGGTGCCTATAGAAGAGCTGGACAAAGACTCTTTGCCAGGAAGTGTAATAATAGGACAAGGGAAAACGGTTTTAAATTGGAAGAAAAAAGATTCAGATTAGATCTCAGGAAGAAATGTTTTACTCTGAGGGTGGTGAGACACTGGAACAGGCTGCCCAGGGAAGTTGTGGCTGCCCCATCCCTGGAGGGGTTCAAGGCCAGGCTGGATGGGGCCTTGAGCAACCTGCTCTGGTGGGAGGTGTCCCTGCCCAGGGCAGGGGGGTTGGAACTCGATGATCCTTGAGGTCCCTTCCAACCCAAACCATTCTGTGATTCTGAGGAGAGCACTGTGTCTGGGGGTGGAAGCTCCCTGTGGAGATAGGCCCTGGTGAGGCTTCTCTCCTTCCCCCAGAGAGATGCTTGGTCCAACAATCTCCAGGTTGCAACAGGCGTGGAAGAGTTTCAGGGTTCACCCCCCGAAGCTCCTGTCCAGAGGCAGAGGAGACCTACAGGTCTCCCTTCTCCTTGGCTGGTGGCATCACCCAGGGGTTCCAGCTGCTGGCAGTGCTCCTGGATGCCCAGCTGGACGAAGGTCCCCAGGCTTTTCTCTCCCTGCTTCAGGTGACCAGCTCCATCATGAGGTGGGTTTGCCTTAGGGCACGTCTAGGGTTGTGTGATCAACATCTCTGTAAACCCACCCAGCTCACCGTGTGCCTGGGAGGGGACAGCCAGCTCCTCTCCTCTCCTGCCAACCCCACCACAGTGCTGGTCCCACCAGGGTGACCTCCCTGCCAGGACACCTTCGCGACCCACCAAGGAAAACTCTTTGCAGCCACATCTTGCAACCTCTGGTACAAATAAAAAGACAAAGGATTTGTGGTTTTGGGAAGAAATAACCTGTATTTGTTTGCCAAGGAATTTCTTTTAAATAGTTACTTACAGAGGAAAATGCTGAGAGTAAGTGTAGGCAGGTATTTAAATACACATTGAACGTGCCGAGCTGCCAAGCGGGGATAACTCATAAATCCCCCGCGTACCACGGAGATTTAACTCAGAGTTTGCAGCTCGATGCCACCAATCTCTTCACTATTCAACCAACCAAAACCCCGGGAGGACGCAGACCTGACGGTTCAACCAACCACTGAGTGCGGAAGGGCGCGAGCGCGGAGGCAGCCGGGCGTCTCACCACGGGACTGAGCTCCCCGACGCGCCCGGTGGCTGGCTGGAAGGGGAGCTGCTGGTGTCAACGGCCGCACGCTACTTACAATTTCCTCTTGGTTCTGGTCTTGGCGTCGGGGTGAATGCTGATGCCGTTCTGGATCCAATAGGCCGTGTAGCCTGAGGTGCCAGGAATGAAGTCGCGGAGCTCCCCGGAGTATTTCCTCATGTCGCGGGCGGAGACGTAGCCTGGGAGGGGGGAAGGTGGGTCTCACCGGGGGAGCTGCCCCTTCTCCCGTGAAGCGAGGACGAGGGACAATGAAGGGAGCGATCCCGGTCGCACCCACCGCCGCTGCGCTGCTGCCAGCCCCGGCAGGAAGCGAGGAGGACACAGGGGTGGGGGCACGGGGGTGTCCCTGCTTCATCCCCACACGTTTTCAGGAGTATTTTCCAATCCTTAAAAAAAAAAAATCTACCGACGCCAAACGTTACCTGTCACCATGTTATTCAGGGGGTATTCCTGGAGGGCGCGGTACGGAAACTCCCCCTGGGTGGGAGCTCTGGAGCCTGTTTCTTCTTCTTCGCTGCTGTATTGGGGGAGAAAAGGAAATGTGCATTATTTCCTCTGTATCGGGGGAGAAAAGGAAATGTGCATTATTTCCTGTGTGTTGGGGATCTCTTGAAATCGGGGGTGGGGAGGGGTGCATCCAAATCCTCCTGCCGAGGGCAGGGAAATACCTTTCAGCCAGGTCCAGCACATCCTCCTCCTCTTCCTCCTCACGGCCCTTTCTCTCCGCCTGCACTTCCCCCGCCAGGCTGTCGTCGGGCTGCGAGCACCGATGCAGAGTTGGGTTAAAATTGCACCCTGACGACCCCGCAAAACACGAGAGACCGAGACCAGGCGAGCAGTATTTCTAGGACTTGCAATTTCAAGCATAATACAATTTGAAAACCAATCACATTTTTGCTGCAGAAGTAACTGAGAAGTTGCCCTGGGAAGAGAGCAGTCTCTCCGCCTGCACTTCCCCCGCCAGGCTGTCGTCGGGCTGCGAGCACCGATGCAGAGTTGGGTTAAAATTGCACCCTGACGACCCCGCAAAACACGAGAGACCGAGACCAGGCGAGCAGTATTTCTAGGACTTGCAATTTCAAGCATAATACAATTTGAAAACCAATCACATTTTTGCTGCAGAAGTAACTGAGAAGTTGCCCTGGGAAGAGAGCAGGCAGTGTCTCGGAGCTGCTCGGGGAAGGAAAACCCTGCGTGGAAGGGCTGAGCTCAGAGCTGGGCCATCAGCATCTGCGGAGGGATGAGCCGGGGAGAGGGAGCAGGAAACCCCTCCTGCGCCTCCCTGGCTCCTCCCTGTGCTGTCCCCACTGCCATGTCACCCTGGGAGGGACACGCAGCCCCGCAAGCACAAGAGCATTCGATCTCTTATTTGGGTCTGGGATGGAACCCAGGCTCCCTGAAGTTGATATAACTGGTGGGTTGTTTTTTTTTTAAGCTACACCTCCTGTAAGGATGTATTTCCCATCTTACCTGGTCAGCAAGGGAATCATCCTCCTGCTCCCAAATAAAACCACCGATTTGCCTTCTGATTTCTGCCATGAACAAAGAAACAAATGACCGTGAGAGCATCAAATAACGTGACGGGGGCAGCAATCACTGCCTGAGTGAGCCCCAGCCTCTCCAGGGGGAGTGAAGGCAGGAGCTCACTGCCCGGCACCACTCGCTAGTGCAGTAGAAAAGATGTTAGTTCTTCTGTCCCTGGGGAGGAAGAATCACTCCCAGCGGAAGGGAATTCCCTCCACCGAGAGCAGAAGTAACTGGAGGTTCTGGTTTGCACCCCCAAAAAGCTGTGCTCATGGGGAGCCAAGCCCTGGTGGGTTGTTTTTTTTTGTCCCCTGACCTTCCTGCAGGCAGGCGGGTGGCAGGACAAAGTGGCCCAGAACCACCAAGGGCTTTGCTCCGGCGCCGCTGCTCGCCCACGCGGAGAGGTAGCGGGAGTGGAAGACGGTAGCTCTGCCCTCCAGGTAATCCAGGCTCTCGTGTATCCTGGAAGAGAAAAAGACAGCTGGTGTCCAAAGGTAAACCTGAAAAAAAAAAGCAATGAAAAACTTTAGAGGGATATTGTCATTAAAACTGATCTGCTGTGGTATTTTTGCCAAAAGCACCTAATTTGTAATCTATAATTTTCTAACTATGAGACTCGACCAGCAGTGTCCCATTACAGCGCCGGGTGCGGGCACCTCCTGAGAGCAGCCTGGAGGAAGGACACCGGGGACCGGGTAAACACATATTTGTAGGGACCAAATGGCACCGTTCTGCACTCTGCTCTTGAGATGAGACCGGTTCTTCAGGGACGAGGGAAAAATGGCATTTTTATTTATTTGTTCTTAACCCTGCTGGTGCCTGCTCAGGCTCACAGTGCAGTGGGGACCAGCGGCACCGCAGCTGAGCGAGGAAGGGTGAGTGGAGGATGCTCAAGCACTCACCATCCTCCTTAGAGGTGAATTAAATACTGTTTGGCTTTAAGGGTGTGGATAATTATTACAATTTTCCCAAGAAATAATCTGAATAGATACACTGAACAAAAAAAATTTTTAAAAAATTATCTATAATTTCCCCTGGGGGAACAACCCAATCCAGCGTGTGGGAAATGAGCTAAGTTTTGCTTCAGCTGATTGATATATTCTTGTTAGTGTGTCAGTACTAACAAAGGAGTCTTAGTGATAGTAGAGTCTAATAAATTGTATCCAATTAATCTCCAGCAATGCCCTTGGTCTGTCAAGGGATCCTTGTTGGCAGAGCGTTATCCAGGTGAAGAGAAACAGACTGGAACATGGCCTTCAACACAGGAACCCAGAGGGGAGGGGAGTATCAATAAGGCCAAAGAAACCAGTCTTGGACAGTAAATCTGCCAAGTAGATGGTAGCAAAGACTGTGAAATAACGTGTGGCGTAATCAACTAATCAAAGGCGTGTTGAGGATAATGATTTCGTAGAATAGGTGTGTGTGTGTGCCTTATATGGGAAAAAGGTGTGAACTAAACCTGTAACAGGTTGGGCGGTCGGGAAGAAGGTGAGCTCCAACTTCTCAGCCAACGAGACGAGAGACAGAAACCCAGGCGGCCAGGATAAGGGTATAAAATACCTGAAAGCTGAAAGATCAGCCTGCATCTATTTTTGGTGCACCCGATTCAGCACTGTTTTGTATTAATAAATTTTTAACCTTTGCTTCGGTGACTTTGTCCTTTTTAAAGTCTAAAATGTGAGGTGGTGTTTCTCACAATTGGGATGCTGTGGCGGAAGGCAGGTGCTTACTCCAGATTTCCACTCCACAGCTGGAGTGGGTGGCTGAAGGATGACAAAAATCTAAGCCAGTTTTATGCATTTGTGAGTTAAAAGCTGCTGCTCAGTCCAGCCTGGCAAAGCCTGCTGCAGAGCACTGCGAGAAAACGTCGCGGCTCCCTTTCGCAGAAATATATTTATAATATATTGAATATATATAAATATTTGCTTGCTGAAGGAAGACCATGAATAGCTTTTCCTTATATTTGTACAAATGTTCTTGAGCTCTTGGATTTTTTATATTAAGCAAGCGAAGGAAAATAGCAATTTAGCCCTTTTCCAGCCATTTTTACCCCTGAGCTTGCTTTCAGAGTTAACCCATTCTGGGTTTTTTTCCACCTGGTTCCTCGAGGTGGTGTTGCCTCTGTTTTAGTTTTCCAGCAGATCAATCTAGATCCTAACACATCAATGGGTTTTGCAGCCGTTTTCTGTTTTGTCTCGCTATGGTTTAGCATGGGGGTGAGTTTTCAGACTCCACAAAGCAGTAAAACCCCGGCAGACCTGGACCAGGGACCCTAAAAACACCACCCTGCCATTTCAAGGATGTCGCTTTCCATTAAATAGTTTACATTAAATCTATTTATCTTAAAACCCTTCTCTATGCCTCCATGCATCTCTGTTTCTCCACGGGGTGGAGACGGCTCAATGTGAGGGTGAAGGATGCAGGCATCTCCCAAGCAAGGAGGGTGTGGGGGTGATGCTGCGGGGGAGCAGAGCTCACCTGCGGGTGTCTGGGTGATCGGCATCGCTGCTGAAGAGGTAGTCGGCGTCCTGCCGGTGGGCCAGGGCCCCGCCGCCAGCCGCTGTTGGGGGAAGAGGGGTGAGGAGGAAGGTGGACACCCCAAGGGGTCCCCCGCTTTGGGGTGGCCTGGGATGGGGACAGCTGCCCGGGCTGGCTGTGGGGCCACAGGGGTAAGTGGGAGCTGTGATGGGCCCCCTCATGACTGTGGGTCTCTCCCAGCCCCACTGGGGGCTCTTCTAGCCTTCTCCTCAGTACGGGGACATCCGGGGGGGACACCTGCCAAAGCCATGCTCTGCCCTGCTGGGGGCGACACAGACCTGCTCAGCCCCACTGAGGGGTGACAGGACCATGTCCCTACTAAAGGGTGACAGGTTTATCCTCCCATTGCTCTGCCCCACTGAGGGGTGACGGCGCCATGTCTCCAGTGCTCTACCCCATTGGGGGGGTGACAGAGCTGTGTCCATACTGAGGGGTGACAGGGCCATGCCTCCATTGCTCTGCCCCACTGAGGGGTGACAGGGCCGTGTCCCCACTGCTCTGCCCCACCGAGAGGTGATGGGGCTGTGTCCTACTAGGGGGTGACAGGTCTATGCTCCCATTGCTCTGCCCCACTGAGGGGTGACGGTGCCATGTCCCCACTGCTCTACCCCATTGGGGGGGTGACAGGGCTGTGTCCATACTGCGGGGTGACAGGGCCATGTCCCCACTGAGGGGTGAGAGGACCATGCCTCCATTGCTCTGCCCCACTGAGGGGTGACAGGTCTATGCTCCCATTGCTCGGCCCCACTGAGGGGTGACAGGGCCGTGTCCCCACCACACAGCCCCACCGCGGCCGTGTGCCAGCTCCGCGCCCCACGGCCCGCCCCGGCTGCCCTCACCCCACAGCTCCCGTGGGCCCGGGCTGACGCTCTGCGAGAACCAGGCGCGGCGGCCGCGGAACATCGCGACGGGAAGAGGCGGAGGCCGCGGCGGGAGGAGGAGGATCCCTGAGGGGCGGAGGGAGGGCGCCGTGGGGCGGTGGCGGCGGCGGCGGGAACACCCCGGGGGACGGCAGGTGGAGAAGCGCTGAGGGGCGGCGCGGTGCTTCGAGGGGCCGTGGGCGTTTGCTGGGCCGCCCCCTTCGGGTGTTTCAGGCACCCGTAAGTGGGGCCGTACAGGTTTCACACGGGCCCCGGTGAGGACTCCCGGCCCCGCTGCCGCCTCCCCTTGCCTGTCTGCCTGAGGTTGAGCGCCCCAAAATGGCGGCGGGTGACCCCCAGCCTCCCCGTTGCCTGTCTGCCTGCAGCTGAGTGCCCCAAAATGGCGGCAGGTGACCCCCAGCCCCACAGCGCTGGGCCAGGAGTGGGGTTCAACCTCCTCTGGAGACTCTCCGGCCAACTGGTGTCACCCCTGGGAAGGGGACGGGACAAGCCAAGGGCATGGAGGAGATGGCATCTGTGGCTGTGCCCAGGAGAAGGCGGGTGGCCACGGCCCTCTCCTCTCCTGCCATCCCTCTGCACCATCCTCTTCCAGCTTGTGCAGAAAGGTGAGGCAAAACCCTTCATGCTATGGCCTCCATCACTGCCCTGTCTCGACTCCTTCCCTCTGTTCCATGGGGAGAATGAGCTCCCCTGGAGTGGCTCCATATTCCTTTTCTCTGCAAGTGGTGGCAAAAGAGGAGGTAGTGAGAAAAGGACAATGTCTCCCTGCCTGGATTTTGTGTCCTCCCATGTCTGCTGGATCAGAGCCTGGAGCTGCTCACCAGAACCCGTCCCCACCTGACAGCACGTGGTTTGTGCTGCGGAGGGAGCAAACCATCCTGCCAGGCAGTGCGTGATCACCAAAGCTGGTGAAGCATAGAATCGTTCAGGTTGGAAAAGACCCTTGGGATCATTGAGTCCAACCATCTACCCTACTCTACAAAGTTCTCCCCTACACCGTATCCCCCAACACCACATCTAAATGACTCTTAAACACATTCAGGGATGGTGACTCAACCACCTCCCTGGGCAGCCTATTCCAGTCTCTGACCACTCTTTCTGTTAAGAATTGTTTCTCAATGTTCAGTCTAAACCTCCCCTGTTGCAGCTTGAAGCTATTCCCTCTTCTTCTATCACTAATGACCTGTGAGAAGAGACCAGCACCAACCTCTCTACAGTGTCCTTTCAAGCAGTTGTAGAGAGTGATGAGGTCTCCCCTCAGCCTCCTCTTCCTCAAACTAAACAGTCCCAGCTTCTTCAATTGCTCTTCATAAGATTTATTCTCCAGGCCCTTCACCAGCTTCGTTGCCCTCCTCTGCACTCGCTCCAGCACCTTGAGATCTCTCTTGGGTTGAGGTGCCCAAAACAGGACACAGATGCCCAAAACTGGACACAAACGGGGCAAGTCCTGCCCAGCAGTACATACGGGTGGGACACAGCCATGTGAGGGTTCAACCTGGTCTCCTCCACACTCGGATTTCCTGCACATCCTAGGAGAAAGATTTACTAGTGCACATACATAAGGCAAGCTGAATACACCCCAAAAGGCAAAGTTAGGTGTCAGCAGTCCTGGAAAATTATGCAGAAACCCCTGGTCTTTGAGTATTACTAATTTTTAAATCAAGTTTTTGCACAAGCTGAAGAATTATTTCTGCTTGCACTTGCCTTTCTACAAAAGACTTGATAACGCTGGCAAATTAAAGGAGAAAAAGGAGAGGTGTTAGGCCACATTTAACTGCTGGGTGGCACAGGTGAGCCAGCTGAGTTGAGCTGAAATGGGCCAACCTGTGTGACGCAGCTGGAGCTGACCTGGGGCTGTGCAGCCTTCCCTCTTGCAGACACCACCTGGGTATTTTTGGGGAAAAAAAACGCTGTGGATATTCACCTTTACCCACCTCGCTGTGGTTTGCTTGCTGGAGAGCAAGCAGACAGAAACTCCATTCCCACAGAGCTGGAGCTGTGGCAGCAGAGCCGGGACTGGATGTGCTTGGTTGACACTTTTCTTGGGCAATGTCTGTGTTCAGCCATGTGTCTTGAACCATTTTTCCTTGCTCTTGCCCCCATTCCTTCAGCTTTTCTCCCTACTATACAGGAACTGGTGAAACTTTAAGAACTCCAAGGAGATGTGATGTTTAAGAAATTGGTCTTGAAAATGGTTGTCCTAAATCATCCTAGAAGTTGTTTTCCTAAAACCACTCATTTTTGGTTGACTCGGGAAATAAGTTTGCTTGGAGCAAAATTGCTTGTATTTCCTAAAGCACAAGTGAGGCTCGTTTCATGCTTCAAACTTGCCAAGGTATCCCTCAACAGCTCCATCCCCTGGAACTTTCACTGAAAGGCCAGCAGCAGCTACCTCCCCGGTACCTGTGGAGCCCCCAAGCCAGACCCCAAGGATGCCTGATAAAACAGTTAAGATTTTTTTAGATACGGTCCTGAAATTCAGATATTAATCAAAATGCACCAGCCCCTGCGATTGGTATACATTGTTCTCCCCCGGAGAGGGGGATTTTTGAGTAAGCTCTCAAAATATTTCCTAAGAAAGACCACAAAAAGCCCACAGATGCAATCAGGACAAAGGCTTGTCTGGTGTGGGAAGATGTTGATGTAAGTTTCCTTTGGAGACGCGGTTGGCTCATGCTGCCTGTGCTGCGGTGTCTCCAACTTCTGCAGTCAACTCCACCCGTGTCCTACTTAGGATGAAGTTTTTCTGTTGGTGTGCTGCACCCAGTTGTTACGCTCTGATGTTCTTGATGTCAGGTGGTAAAGGTGAAACTGAGATGGTGGTAGATACTTTGTGATCCAGATGAGGAAGCCAGGTCCATGTCTCAAGCCACCTCAGGCTCTTGCAGCAAGCTGTGCTGTTCTGCTGGGGGTCTCTGGAGGAGAAGCCCAAACCTTTTCCTCCCTCTCAGACTGTATCTTCTACTACAGAAGGACCACTGCTAGGGCTGGGCTGGTCCATGGCTGGTCTCCAGAGCAAGGCTGGCATTGGAGGCTGAGCCGGTGAGTCCTACCACCCTAGGATGGGAGACGAGTGCTTTGCATGACCACCCAGCTGTGACATCCCCACCTCTCCTGGTTTGAATGCTCCTCTGCTGGGCACAAAGGGATACCCATAACCACTCTCTTCACCCCAGCAACCTCTAACTGGGGCATTTGGAACTACAACAGTTTGGATTTTCCTAATCCTTAACAGAAAACATTGTTATAGTGGAAAAAGCTATGAAACACCAGTCACACCAGATCTTAATACACCCAAGAAGAGACATGTGGTGGATCACATGCGCTGGGGTGCCAGGAATTCTTGTTCACACACATAAGATCTCCACTGATGAGAGTCTCCTCGATCCAACAGTCACCAAGCAATAGTACTGATTTCTTCCTAAAATAAAAGCAAGCTGCCAGACTGTACTGAGTGGAACCATTCTGGGGCAGAGCCATCAAACCCTCAAGGGATGGCAGAAGACCAGCCCCCAGCAGGGCTTCTCCACAGGGCAGCTGCTTGCAGAAGATAAAACCAGAAATGAAAGTCACTGACACACACATCTGCTTCCCCTTGGTTGACCCACCCACCTTTACACCACACACCACCATCAGCTGAAGTTCTGCTCCTTGAAGTGGGCACCACATCCTGCCCATCACTCCTTTTTCTCTTGCCCAGCATCTCCAAGGTCACTCTGTCCCTTTTCTTAACCTTGTGCCATCTCTTCAGAGCCACACAGGAGCCTGTGGCCAAGCAGATCCCACATAAATTAGTTAAATCTTTAATTCTTCTGTTTTTGATGGAAAAAAGTGTTCCTGCACCTTCTCAGCTGGATAAAAAAGTGCAACTGGGAACAGTGCCACCACCCTTCACACCCACCCACAACCCAACAGCCATCAGAGCCCATGAAATCAGCTCAGGGTGTCACATGACTCTGAAAAAACGTTTTAAGGACCCCCCTTGAGTCCTCCAATTTTATTTAGATAATAATACTGTACAATTCAGAGCATTAAAGAGTTGCAGATGTTTTTAATCAGTATATGAACATTTTTAACTACGTGCTCAGTCATGATCCATAATGTGAACTCTAGCAACGTGAGCAATGCTCACAAAAAAGCAGCCTAGTTCGCCTATTGCTTTGGATAAATGATAAATGATGGATGATCTTTATAAAAAGAAGGAATTCCACAAGGAAGACGATTGCTTCTCTTCATCATATCCAAAAAGTGAGTCAAGGACAGAAGCTCAAGAAGATTTAAACTTGCAAGACCTGCATGGAGGAGAGGAGACCGACATCAGTCACTCTGTTCATACCTTCAATCATAATTATTTTAAGATTAAAAAAAAAAAGCATCCCAAACCAGGAGAGTTTTCCACAGAACTCCAACTGCAGAGTCACAGACTCCAGACTCCAGCAAAGTCACCGATGTCCCACCTCCAACTAAGCTTAGCATCCCTTGCCATCCCTTCATGCTGATGTCCCACCAAAGCCACTGCCTGCCACAGCGCACCCCACTCCCAGCCCTGGGGCCAGGTTTCCATCCCCTCTTGCCAAAAGCAGGTGAGAAAACAGAACAGTGTCTGTGTATAATTTGTCAGAGTTTCATTATCTGGAAGTCTCTGTCCTCTGTCAAATCACACGTTCCTTTACCTCAGTGCCCCGTCTCAAGGAGCAGTTGGAGTCAAACATTTAAGCACTTACTGCGTCCTTTCTAAATATCTTCCCAACCCAACCATTTCTGGCTCCAGGAGATCTCTGGAGCCTTCCCCCTGCTCCCAGTATCACACCTCAGCTTTTCTGCTGCAAATTAAGAGCGTATCTTCTTCTGTTGCTCCCCCTGAGAAAGATGGTCAACTGACCTCCATTTTCTCTTGTCCCCGGAAGCCTAACACTCCTCCTACAACCTTTGCTGCTTCACAGCAAGGGCGGGCTGGGGAGCTTTAGTGGGAGAGCAGCGTTGGACAGTGAGAAGTGAAGGACTCAGATCCATCTACATCTTTCACAAGAAGAAATGCTCACAGCAGTTTTTCCAATTTTACAAAGTTCATTTGACTTACGATTGTGTCTCAGTCTAAAAGCCATCAATAACACTTCCCGGTCCAAGGTGGAGGGCATTCCAAGTGAGGTCTTGCCAAGGCGTGCCCTGGGTGCAGTTAATAATTACCAAGGCTCCACCGGGATATGTAACTAAGGTGTCTCAACCAGCATTGCAACTAGGTGAGCCAGGCCACCGATCTTTAGTTTTATTTTCGCTATCAAAGGTTAAACTAGGATTTATGTGATTGCTCAGTCCAGATCAGACAGTTTGAAGAATCTGGAGCCCTCAGACTCTGAGACACCAGTGAATAAAACCAAGGCTGCTTCTGGCCTGGCAGCAAGGCTCCAATTTGTGCCCCCTACCTCCCACACTGCCGAGATGACATCACTGGCCACAGGGTTAACCAGCCTGCCCTCACCCCACCTCACGGGGGTTTCCAGGAACTGCAGCTTCCTCCTCATCGGGCAGAAGACAGGCACCACCGCAGGGTCTGGAGAAGCACTAGAGGACCTGTGACAACCCTGAGTGATACCTGCCAGTCACACCAAAGGCATATGGGGATGTTTTGACCCGAGGTGCTCCTTCCTTTTGAGGAACCGAGACTCTTGTAGGCAAGGAATGGCTGAGAAGTGACCAAAACAGCAGGTAGAAGGGGCGTGGGAACAGCCCCACTCCCCATTAGCAGCAACTATATATTTTTTTTTAATAGTTTTTTTGGGGTGGTTGCTTTTGTTCCTCAACTCTGCAAGCTACACTCTTCCCCCCTACAGAAAGCAGTCCACGTCCCCCCTATCAGCACAGCATGGAGCAACAGCAAAACTCACCATGATTATGCCAGATGCTGCTTAGAAATCTGCCTCTGCAAGAGAGAAGGGGAGAGTGTTACACTTGGGGGCAAACAGCACCCCCCTGTTCCCCTCCCCATAAGCCCACCCCTACTGGAAGCAGCCCCAGGGAGCTGCCTTGGAGGATGGGTCCCCACCACAGGTCCCCAGTGCTCTATCCTTCTCCATGTTCACCAAATAGAACACTTTTTCAGCAACCCAGCTGAAACCAAGTTAATTTTCCATCTCTAGCACAAGACCTTTGAGATCCACCCCATTATAACACCCCGAGAAGGGGAACGGAAACACCGCGGATATAGGTTAACGAGCTCTGGCTTCTGGACAGGAGCAGAGGGCAAAGCTTGAGGAGAAAGGCACACCATACCCCATTGGTACACCTGCGGCTCCGGCAGGGCAGAATGGACCAGGATGGGTCCCCACCACGGGTCCCCAGTGCTCTATCCTTCTCCATGTTCACCAAATAGAACACTTTTTCAGCAACCCAGCTGAAACCAAGTTAATTTTCCATCTCTAGCACAAGACCTTCAAGATCCACCTCATTATAACACCCCAAGAAGGGGAACGGAAACACCACGGATATAGATTAATGAGCTCTGGCTTCTGGACAGGAGCAGAGGGCAAAGCTTGAGGAGAAAGGCACACCATACCCCATTGGTACACCTGCGGCTCCGGCAGGGCAGAATGGACCACTTTGCAGGCGTAGGTGTCACCCTTCTGGGGGGTGAAGGGCACGTAGACCAGGCGCTGGAAATACCACTTCTCGTTGAAGGACATGTCCGCGTACTTGACGTCGCTCATGGGCTGGTTATTCTTCAGGAGGGTGATTTCGATTTTGGGGGGGTGGAAACCGCTCACGAAGCAGTTGAGGGTGTTTTCTTCCCCCACTACGGCCCGTTTGCGGGAGTAGACCTCCACCTTCGGGGGCTCTGGATGGGGGGGAAGGAGGTGGTGAGAAGCCTGGGAGAAGCCAGCACCCTTCTACCCATCCCTCCACTCATCCCAGCACGGTAACCTGTACCGGGCCCCTTACAGTCCCTCCCTGACCGACCCCCCGGCCACTCACCATCCGCGGCCACCAGGCCGACCAGCAGCACCAGGACCGCCACCTTCCCCGCCAGCTCCATGGCTCCGCTTCCCTGACGGACTGCCGCGCCACCGCCGGCCGCCTTTTATACTCTCTGCCTCCCGCGGCCAATCGCCGTGCGGGACTGCCCGGCGCGTCATCAGTCTCCAGGCAGAGAGGGAGCCGAGAGGTTGTGCGGGCCCGCCCGGCCGCGGGCACAGCCGCTTTCGCTTTCGCTTCTGCCTGAGGCACCGCCCGGGGCTGCCCGAGGGGCCCGCCCGCTACCGGGAATGTTTCCCGGGACCCGGAGCCGCCCCGCCGGGCCCGGCCGCTGCCGGGGCTGTTTCCCGGAGCCGACTCGTTGCGCTCGGTCTGTTTCCCGGGGCCTTTTCCACCCCCGGCGGGGTGGAGGCCTCCAAGGTGTGAGGTGGTAGAGGCCGCAGCCCCCGCAGCCCCAGGCGTTGCGTTGGGAGGCCTGGGGCCAGGAACCCCCACCGGGAGCAGGTCAGGGAGTGGTGGCTGCAAGGCTCTCAACCTGCCTCCTGCTCCTCACCAAAAATTGGGGTAAAAAGTTCCTCCCACAGAGGAGTTTGCAACTAGAGCCAGTACTGTGCTAATGGCCAACGCCGGCCAGAGGAAATGGTCTGAAGTTGGGCCAGGGGAGGTTTAGATTAAATATCAGGAAGAATAATTACTTTCCTTAGAGGTTGGTCAGGCGCTGGAACAGCCTGCCCAGGGAGGTGGTGGAGTCACCATCCCTGGAGGTGTTTAAGAAACGTGTAGATGTGGTTCTTCAGGGCATGCTCTAGTGCCTGAGATTGTTGGTTTGTGTTTGTTTGTGGGTGGGTGTGGTGGCTGGTGGGTTTTGGTTTTGGTTTTTTTTGTGGTTGGACTCGATGAGTCCCTTCCAACCATGAATATTCTGTGATTCCTGAACTTGGGCTTGCTCTCTGAGCACCAGTGCTCCGGCCCGGTGGCTGTGGGACCGAGTGACTCTGCCCTTTGAGCGCAGCAGAGACTCCACATTGTCAAACACAACAGCCCAAAGGTCAAGGAGCCAGGTGTTCTGGTGCCTCCTCCAGAGAAACCGTGAGCACTTGGATCAAGGAATAGGGCTGAGTGTGGCTTGAAGGTTCGCTCGATGTAACTAAGCCACTCCTAGCACAAGCAGGAGTTAGCAAATACTGTGTTTTGGTTTTTAGGCATGTATGCACGTAGCCATTGTATAGGTCAGCACAAACGTTACTTTGTAAGAGGAAATTACCCACCAGAACAGGATGCTGTAGGACAACGTAACCCTGTAGAAAGAACTTACCTCTGAGAATAGGAGGCCCCAAGACCAATGAGACATATAGAACCAGTCACGATAACAATGAATTCTCGAAAATACAACAAATATCTTAATTAGTTCTTGGAAATCGCATAAATATGTCTGTATATATGTTGTGAAACTAACTCTGCCTGGCACACACATTGGGAGGAGCAATCCCCTGTGTGTCCAGCGCTGCAATAAAGAAAACCTGCTTAATAGTCATCCCAACTATTGAGTCCTGATTGCGGCCTTTCATGGCATCACACCACAGCCCAGCCAGGCAGGGTATGCCTCCCACCGGCCCCGTGATGCTGCTCAGAGGAGAGAAGGACTCTTGCTTTGAGTAGCAGCGTGGAGAAAAACAAGGTTAAAAACGAAAATGAAGCAGTATTAAAGAGCACGTAGGTATTTTATACGCTCAGGAACTTGTCTGCTTGCAGTGCTGCAGGTCATGTACGGCTTATCCTCAGTCACTTCAGACTGGGAAGCAGATTGTCTTCTATCAAGCTGTGTAAGGATTAAAAAAGTTAAATAAAGAAAAAAAAGGAGGGAAAGGAAAGGGAAAGGAGCTATTGGGAAGAAAACAGTACCATGGAGCTGCTCTAATGCTGCAGCCCCGTGAGACTTCCCATTGTAATACACACCATTGAAAGAGCTAATTTAAATCAATAAAACCCGTAGAGAGAAGATCCCCCAGCCAAAGGTTGCGGGTAAATCAGCAAAGACCAAGCAAAGAAAAAAACCCACAAATTCTTGTTACCAGTCCCTGCTGGACCAGCTCTGAGCTGAGCCCCAGCTGGGTTTGCCTGGAGTATTTTTGCTGTGAGATAAGGGGACGCAGCTGAGGCTGGAGCAGTATCAGGGCTCTGGGGGCTCCTGTGGGGATGCAGAGTGACCACTGCGTGGGTGTCGCAGCCTGGCCCATGGGCCAGTGTACCTCTGCCCAGGCAAGCCCTCCCCTGGGCTCGGGGAGGATTAATTACAGAAATTGCGGGACACAGATCCTTTCTCAGCACTGCCACCCAGGCTCTGCCCCTCGGGATGGGAATCCCTGGAGATGACTTTGCCGTCATCCGTGATGCCTGGCAGAATTCCCCTGTAAAGAGAAGCTGAACCACAGGTTTATTCTACACACTAGCTGCTCCGATTCTGTTACAACAGCCAAATCTTCCTCTTCGAGGGTGCTTCTGCTTTTGTTAGTGGAGGGAGATACTGAAGGAGCGGACAAGGTCTGACACAACCAAGGTGCTCCCAGTGTTTGTTGGGGGGAGGTGGAGATTTATGGCACTTTCCCCTTGTACGTGCCCCCCTGTGCTCTTGGATCTATGGCCACAAATCCCTGGGACATGTTTCCAGCTGCACTGACTGTGACCCATGGGTCTTGGGCCAAGACCAATGGAATGAGGTTCAATAAGGCCAAGTGCCAGGTCCTGCATTTCGGTCACACCAACCCCCTGCAGCGCTCCAGGCTGGGGGCAGAGTGGCTGGAGCTGCCCAGCAGAAAAGGACCTGGGGGTGTTGGTGGACAGCTGGCTGAACAGGAGCCAGCAGTGTGCCCAGGTGGCCAAGAAGGCCACCAGCATCCTGGCCTGTGTCAGGACCAGCGTGGCCAGCAGGAGCAGGACAGTGATGGTGCCTCTGGACTGGGCACTGGTGAGGCCTCACCTCGAGGGCTGGGTTCAGTTCTGGGCCCCTCACCACAGGAAGGACATTGAGGTGCTGGAGGGTGTCCAGAGGAGAGCCACCAAGCTGGTGAGGGGTCTGGAGAACAAGTCATATGAGGAGAGGTTGAGAGAACTGGGCATGTTTAGTTTGGAGAAGAGAAGGCTGAGAGGAGACCTCATTGCCCTCTACAACTCCCTGACAGGAGGTTACAGAGAGGGGGGGGTTGGCCTCTTCTCCCAAAGGAATAATGACAGGACCAGAGGAAATGGTCTGAAGTTGGGGCAGGGGAGGGTTAGATTAGATCTTGGGAAGAATGACTTTCTTGAGAGAGTGGTCAGGCCCTGGAACAGCCTGCCCAGGGAGGTGGTGGAGTCACCATCCGTTGGGGGGATTTGAGAAACGTGTAGACGTGGCACTTCAGGGCACGCTCTAGTGCCTGAGATTGTTGGTTTGTGTCTGTCTGTGGGTGGGGGGGGTGTATTTTTGTGTATGGGGAGGTTCGGTGTTTTTTTTTTCTTGTTTTTATTTTTTTTTTGTGGTTGGACTCTATGATCTCAAAGGTCCCTTCCAACCTCGAAGATCCTGTGGTCCTGTGACCCGGGGGGTGGCCGTGACTGCCTGGGGGAGCGACGAGAAGAGCGGGGAGAGAGGCCGGGCGGGGGGTTCCCTGGGGGGGGGGAACACGAGGGGAAAACCCCTTTTCCCCTCCCTTTACTCCGTCGCGCGCCGCGGGGGCGGGGCCTAGCTGCAGGGGGCGGGGCCTAGCTGCAGGGGGCGGGGCCTAGCTGCAGGGGGCGTGGTGTCGCGAGTGCGCAGGCGCAGCGCGCGGCTGGGCGCCGCCATGCTGTACGGCAAGCGGCGGCGCGTAAAAGGCGGGAGCGGCGGCAGTTCGTCCCCGTAGAGGGATGCGGACGGGCGGGTGGCGCCGCGCCATGGCGGAGGGCGGCGAGCCTTTTGTGAGTGCCCGTCTTGCTCCGCCCCGTCCCCCTGGCCCGTCCCCGGAGCCGCCTTTTTTCCCGCCGTCCCGGGTCACGCCCCCCCTACCCCCCGGTGCCGGCTCTCCCGGGAGCGGTCGGTACCGGGGACGGCACTGTCCCGCAGGTGCTAGCGGGGTGCGCTTTCCTGCCTTCTGCTGGGGTGCGGTTCGTGCCCCCCCGGTAGCGGGATGTTCGCTCTGAAGCCTGCTGGTGTCCCCCAGCGCTGCCCGCCCCGCGGCCGTTCGTGCACTGGCCACCGTCGCCTCTGAGTGGCCGCAGCCCCGGGCCCGTGCCCTGCGCTGAGCCGGCCTGTCCCCCCCGCACTGGTGGCTCCTTTTCCCTTTCCAGCTGTGAGCCCTGGGGCTGCCCGCACTGCCAGCGGTGGGGTGGGGGGAGGCTGGGTGCCCCACACTTTGGGGGCAGGTTAGGGTTCCCCCTCCCCTGCCCGCCTCCTTTAGCGGGGACCGTGCTGCTTTCCACTCCAGTTGCTCGAGGATTACCTGCTCGTGGAAGGTGCGCCTCTGCTGGAGGAGATGGCTGAGGAGGATGAAGAGCTTGACCTGTACAATGAGATGACTTTTGGGTTAGGTAAGACCTCAGGGGAACCCCAGGGCCATGAGCCAGCACCCAACGGGGTGAGGAGGATGGAGGTGGGGGAGCGAGGAGCTGGGTTGGGAGCAGGGACTGTGGTGGGCGCTGCCCAGGCTCTCATCCACCCTGGTGTGCTCTCTTCCCCTGCCCAAGACCGAGACTCTACTGAGGAGGACACTGTAAACGCTCTGATGCCTTTAGAGATGAGCACTGAGCTGGCCGAAGTGGCGGAGGAGGAGACTGAGGCTGGGGAGGAACTGGAGCCCGGAGCAGTTGAGCAGCCAGAGAAGCTGGGAGAGCCCCAGGAGGAAGGTGGGATGGAGTTGGAGTTTGAACAGTTTAGTTCTGAGTTGGAGGAAGAGGAGGAGGAGCTGGGAACTGAGGAACAGGAGGAAGATGAGGAGCCTTGTGAGAAGCCAAATGACCTGGGAGACCCAGCGGTGATCAGAGCTGTGCGGAGCAAACCTACGCTGGAGGTGACGCATCTGCAGGGAGGGGAGGGTACCCACACCTGTGGGTCCTGCCCCACAGAGGGCACCAGGGGGTGATCTGGTGCCTGCCTGAGGGAGGGAGACCCTCTGGGCTGTGTCTGTAACCACCTCTTTGCCTGCAGAGCCAGGACTCGGCAGTGTTGGACAGCAGGATTGGTGCTTGCTGGGCAGAGTTCGGCAAAGAGGACATGGTAAAAATGTCCCCCCACATCTGGTGGCAGAGCTGAGGGGCCTCCGTGGTGTCCCCTGCCCCTCTCCTTCTGTCCTCCTTCCCCTTGCTGACCACCTTGCTGTCTTCCAACTGGAGATGGATCCTGTGGTGTGGGGCTCCTGCCCTGGCAACATCCCACCCCACCATGTGCTGGAGGTGGGCCAGGCCCTTGGGGAATGGTTGGGAACTGCCCAGTACTCTGGGCCAAGGGTCACGCAGGTGATTTGGGGTGCCTGGGGGACCTCCAAAGCCTCATCATGGGTCTGGGGGTGCATGGGCTCATCTCTTGGGTGCCAAGGATGTGGGTGGAGGTGCCCACCCTAAGCAGAGTCTGGGTTTGAAGGCAAAACTGTTGAGTTTGAGGGGATTGGAAGCCCCATGCTGGGTGTCCCCGTGGGTCCCCTGTTGTTGCATGCCACCAGGATGGGAGCCTGGCTGGTGCATGGTCCAGCTGAGCAACAACCACAGGTTTTGGTGAGCTGCTTGATGCTGGGGGGGCTAAACTGATCCCAGCTGAGCCCTGTTCTTGTCTCCTGCTGCCTCCTCCCTGTAGGATAAAGCCCTCCTCCAGGTCCTGGAGAGGCCCCCGCCATCCAGCAACATGGCCCTCGACTTCCTTGGCTCCCCTGTGCAGCGGGGCTATGGGGGCTCTCCCCGGCTCAAGCGCCCCGACTTAAGACTGATGTCCCCCAAGTCCTTCCCCCAGCACATTCTCCGGCAGGTAACAGGTTTCGGGGGGCACTCGTGTCCCTTCTTTCTCTGCCCTCCCCTCCCCAGAGGTGCAGCCTTGAGGACAGTCTTGTCCCAGCAACATCTCCCTGTCTTCTGCCCTGCAGCGGTCGCCTCCGATGCCTTGTTCCCACTGTTCCTCTCGGCCCTTCGCTCCGGCTCGCAGACCCTCTCCGCTCTTCACTTCCAACCAGGTAACACAGTGAGCTGCGAGCCACCAACCTGTCCCCTCTGAGGTGGCCCTGAGCAGCAGGGGATGAGGATGGCACCTCCTCAAGGTTCTGCTGTCCAGGGCAGACTTGGCAGTTCCACCTAATCCTGGGCACCCATCTCCGGCATCTTGCCGATGGGGAAAGCCCAGCCACCTCCTGTTTCATAAATCTATTTGTCCTGAAGTCCCCAGGGGTCCTGCACCAGGCATGGTGTCATGCTGTGGCACTGGTGGTGGATGCAGGGCTCATCTGTAGTGGCAGGATCCCTGGGGGGTATGGCCTCACCATAGTGCCCCACACGGCCCCTCCGTGCAGGGAGAGGGTACCTTGTGTGAGGATGGGAGCCAGAAGGTAGCATGGAGCTGGCAGACCCCTCCAGGACCCTCAGAAGGAAAGGCTCTGACACCTGAATGCTTCTCTCTCCCTCTCCAGACCGCAGGGTATGCGTCTCCCACCCCTTTCCGGCCCATGTCGCCCAAACTCGGCAGCCCATCGGGGCCTCTTGGCATGCACTTTGGTCCCATGTCTCCTTCTTCAGACCCTGCTCTCTTCTTCACTCCGGCAGCCAGCGGCCAGCCAAACCTCAGGTAGCGGGATGGCGAGTGGGGGGCCTGGGTGGGACTGGAGGAGCCCTGCAAAGTGGCTGGAGGGGATGTCCCCCCTCTGGGGACAGCTCTAGTGCAGGTGCTGAGTCCCCAGCCGCTGTCCCATCTCTCTTGCGTTGTTCCCAGCCATATGACCCAGTTGCACCCCCAGCACCAGCGGCTCCTGACCCAGCGGCAGCAGCAAGGCGGGCAGGCACAGAGGTAAGGGGGTCCCCGGGGAGGTGAGGGGGGGCTCTGGGCAGTCACAGCAGGTTGTGATCTTCTCCTGTGCCAGCATCTCCCCAAAGAAGCTGTGGTCTCCTAAAGCGGACCCTTATGCTGGTCTGATGACCTCCAAGGAGAAGGACTGGGTTGTTAAGGTGGAGATGATCCAGCTGCAGAGCGAGAACATGGATGATGACTACTACTACCAGGTGAGCTCCTGCTGGCAGTGCCAGGGGCTTGTCCTGCTCCTCAAGGCTGGGGCATCATCTCTTTGGGTGCTAGAGGGTGCCTGGGCTTGTGGTCCCTCCCCTCCTGGCTACGCCTGTCCTTACAGGTGTACTACCACCAGCTGGAGCACAAACAGGCGAAGGAGGAGCTCCTCGGTGGGCGCAACAAGCAGGAGCCCCCCAAGCTGGTCACACCATTCATCCAGAAAGTGGAGACCTACGACTCTGGTGAGGGGCTGGGGTGGGTGGTGGGGGACTTGGACAAAGGGATGGGTTGTGGGACATGGTCTCACCATATTCCCATCTCTCTTCCAGTGGTACGCATCGCGGGCTCTCTGGGCCAGGTCGCGGTGTCCACCTGCTACAGCCCTCGCCGGGCCATCGATGCTGTGCACCATGCCCTTGTGGAGGAGGTAGATGGGGGGAAGCCGGGCTGGTGGGTGCCCTGGGTGCCAGGGGATGCAGGTCTGAGCTTTCCCCAGGCCCTGCATTAGCTTTAGCAGGAGCTTTAGGAGCTGCTGCGACTGAGCACAGGTGACACCTCAGCTCTGGGTGGTGTTGTGAGCTGCAGAATGGAGCAGGGGCTGCCTCAGCAGTGGCAGTTTGTCCCCGGCCGAGGGTGGGATGGGCCTCCAGGCAGTCAGAGCTGGCCACGGCCTCCGCGTGGGCTTGCTCTGTATCCTGAAGCTGCCTCTGATGCCCGGGGAGCAGCTGTCTCAGCGCTCTGCTGGTAGTGGCATCTGGTGCTGGCTGTAACTGTTGTGCCTTCCTTTCTCCCCTCCTGAAGGCCGCGGGGAGCCACCGGCTACGGGCGCTGCACCGCATCGAGAAGGTGAGCGAGCCACGGTTTGGGGCAGGGTGGAATGGTGCAGATGTTTGGTTTTCATCCAAGGAGCTCTGTGAGGGCCTTCTACCTAGGCAGGGGTCCTGGATAGCCAGTGGGTAGAAGATGCTCCAAGCTTCCCCCTTACCCTGTGCCATTTCTCCAGCTTTTCCTGCAGCTGCTGAAAGTGGAGGAGATGCAGCGCAAGATGTCTTTGGCCCTGGAGGAGGAGCAGCCCTGCTGTCGGGAGCAGAAGACCCAGAAAGTGGAGCATATCTACCAAGTCTTGAAAATCAGAGCTTGCAGCAGCGAAGAGTGAGTTTGTGCCATGGGGAGAGGGGAGTGGGTGGCATGTCCTGGTCCTCACAGGGCTCAGATGGTCACAGATGAGTAGTTCTGGGTGATGGTGAAGGTTGGATCCTGTCCTCCGTGTGTCACCATAGCCTGTGTTGACCCTGCGTGAGAGCCTCGTCCTCCACTGGAGCTGATGCTGGTCCTGGATGGACAGAGATGCTACAGGTTCCTTGGGATCTGTGCCAATGGAGCCTTTGTCCCCAGGGAGGCAGAGGATGAATTCCTGCAACTCCTGTGTGTGCGGAAGGGCAAGAAGCTTGTGGCTCGGCTGCTGCCCCACCTGACCCGGGAGCAAGCGGAGAAGATCCTGCTGACCATCACCCACCACCTGCCCTTCCTCATGAAGAAGGATGTGTTGGATGAGGTGAGCACCTCCAGCCAGGGCAGGGGCATCCCAGGCTGTCTCCTCCCCCTGTCTGCTCTTGGTGGGTGGGCACCCTGGGCCGTGGGGAAACCATTTTGCTGGGTCCCAGTGCAGCCTGGCAGCTGGTGGGGTTTACACGAGACAGGAGCCTTTCTCCTTCCCTCTGGAGGAGGAGAAAGGTCTCTAGGAGGGGTTAAAGCAGTCCTAGTGGCAGTTACCCCGAGGGGGTGCAGTCGTTGGCTTTTGTGTGTGCCCCCCAGGTGTTGGGATGGGGCTCAGGGATGGGGCTGTGGTGGCGACGGGTCAAATGGTCTCAGATTCCTGCTCTCCTCTCTGCCCTGCCCAGTCTCTCTCCCTGCTCTACAGCCCGTTGAACAAAGTGGTGGGCGGGCTGGCCTTCAGCAAACTCATCGAGGTCCTGCAGGAGATGACCAGGCCGCTGCCCGAGTCCCCTGAGCTCCCCCTGGCCATGGCCTTGAAGAACCAGGTAGGTGGCCCCAAGAAGGGCAGAGCTGTGCTCCCTGTGGAGCCACCACTGCCACCTGCCTGTGATGCTCTTCCTGGTACTTTGCCCACAGTTTGGGATCTCCTTGCTCTACTCCCTGCTGAGCCATGGCGAGAGGCTGCTGTCCTCCAATGCACCACTGGAGCCACGCAGCGGGGACTTCGAGACGTGGTGAGGGGCTGTGTGAGCACCAGGGTTGGGGTTTCCTGGCCAGTGGGACACTCACCCCACAGCATTGATTTCCACAGGACAGACACAGTGTTCCTGGTTGCCCGGGAGCTGTCGCAAGTGCCCAAGACCTTGCTGGTGGAACCTCTCTTCTTGCCCAGCAACCTTCTCTCGCTCTTCTGCCGCTACCTGGACAAGCAGACCGTCCACCAACTGGAAGCCAAGATGGAGTGAGTACCACCTGTCATGGCCCCTGCCTCTCCTGGGGATCCCCTGGGAGAGGAGCAGCAGATGGGAGTTTGCTGCTTCTGTCCCCTTGGGGACAGAAGGGTAGGGCCAACCCTGTTGGGACATGAGTCTCCAAACCTCCACTAGGCTGAGCTGATCCTTGTGGCTTTGCTTCTGCTTCTCTGGGGCATCAGCTGCCGGCAGTGCGAGTGTGACAAGCAGGTGCTCCAGCCTAGTCCTTTCCCCACAGATGCTCCCCGCTGCCCTTGGAGGGTGCCAGGCCCTGCTGAGCCCCGGGAGCTTGGGAACGGGAGCCAGCGGTGCTGGGAACGGGCAGGGCCCCCATGCCCTGATGTCGAGTTTCAAAGCAAAGACTTTACCTTGGTGCAGGGCACTCTGGGTGAGCCGGGCACTGGCCGGGCCAGCGCTCGAGGGCCAATGCTGACCTGCCCCGGTGGCCGGGAGCGCAGCACGGGGTGGCGGGTAACTTATTTTGGCCTCGTACCCAGTGCCGGGTGTGGAGGCAGGGTCTGCACAGGGGTGCTGGGAACACCTGGGGGTGAGTGACTCTGTGTACAGCAGTCAAAACAAAATAATAAAAAAAGTGATTAACAAGCTCCTCTGGCTCCGGTGGGCGGCTTCTGCACAGCACAGGGGGAGGCATCCCCCTGGAGGCATCACCTGGGTGTGGAGACCCCTGGTCGGGGATGGTGGGGATCCAAGTGTGTAGTAAAGGGGGGAGGAGAAGCAGGGAGGGGAGCCAGAAGGAGGAGAAAGGGGCATAGAGAAGACAATGATGGGAGTCTCACACTCAGAAGGGAGTGGAGAGGATCAGAGGATCCCACACAGCTGGGTTCTGGGGTGATTGAGCCCCCAGGGAGAGGAGTGGGGTGGAAGAAAAGGGATGTGATGGGGAAGGGACAGATGGGCGCACGCAGGAAGGGTCCATCTGCGTGCACAGGGGAAGGGTATGTGGGACCTTAAACACATGTGTGTGGGTAATTAAGCACCTCTTCTCTCTCTGCTGAGCTCTCAAAGACTAATTAGTCCAAAGGCTTGCAGACACGGTTGTGGTGATGTACCTCAAGGCATCTTTCCTGAGCGATTTTAACTGACCATGGCCCTCACTTCTCCATCTCAGGCTGAAGAGGTGCCCAGGTGCAGTGTCTGGTCCTGCTGCAGAAACTGTTGTGGCTCCTGCTGCTCCTGTCTATATGGTGGGATTTCCCCTCATTCTATGGGACCTCTGAGCCTAGGCCACCTCTGTCCATCCTGAGGTCTTAACTTGACACGCAAAGCCTGGGCTATGTTCAAAAGAGGTTTGCACCAGAAAGTCGTCTCGTCCTCAGACTGGTAGCTATTGTGTGGGACCAACCCCATGTAGACAAGAGCAGATGAGGCTACTCCTTTAAACTGACATCCTCCAGAGGTCAAACTAATGCACAACGAGGATTTGTAAAAAATAAGGATGTGAGCAGTTGGGTGGGATTTATCTCCACTGCTTATTATGACAGATACATCTCTGCTTCTGAAACACACTTCAGAGAGGCAACTGAGATGGCCAAATACAGCTGTGTGGAGATGAGATGCTGCAGATGTGATGCAGGACTTACAGGGGGGTGGGGTGTAGGCTATCAATCATCTAAAAGTGCTGCAAGGTCCAGCTGGGAGGAGCTCCAGGCCATCCTAGCATCTGCTTTTGTCATCCTGATGTCTCTCCTGCTCATCTTGGTGTCCTACAGCCTTTCCCTGCCCTCAAAAGCAGGTCTACCAAAAAGTAGGTCGAAAGCCTTCTCCACTTGCTCCTCACGCTTTGTTGTTGGAAGGTTCTTTGGGACAGCTGTGGTCTGATCCCCAAAACCCTCGAACTGAACAAGTGCCCATCCTGGTCAGGGTGTGGAGGGGGTGGTGGCTGTCCTGTTTGAGGTGTCGAGGCCGTCTTGGTCAGGGCATTGAGAGGGGACCATGGCTGCCTCAGGGTTCAAGTATGCCAGGGAGGGTGTCCTTGGGCACAAAGAGGGCAGTGGCCATGTCAAAGGCAACCATGGTCTCTGTTTCAGTGTGTTGAGGAGTTGGCTGGTGTGAGGGTGACCATGGCCATCTCGGCTGGGGCATTCATGGGACTGTGACCATCTTGTGGTTGGGACGTTGACAGGACCATGGCCATCTCAGTTGAGGCACTGAGGACACTAGCTCACTGAGGTGTTGAGGGGACCATGGCCATGTCGGCTGGGGCACTGAGGAGACCGTAGCTCACTGAGGTGTTGAGGGGGACCCCGGCCAGGGGCTGGGGGGACGCAGGGCGCCATCCCGTGGGGACCCCCGCCCCACAACGCTCGCTCCCCTCAGGCCTGGGCTCGCCCACTGCGCGGGGCGAGGAGGGAGGGGGGGACACGCTCCCCCTCCGCCGCTGCAATGGTACGACCCGCCGGGCATGTCCCCCCCCCACCGCGCCAGGCTCGTGGCCGTTTCCATAGGGACGGAGCGACGCCTGCCAGGGAGGAAAGACGGCGGCGCTCATTGGCTCCCCCTGGCGGGGGAGGGCGGGGCAGACGGAAGCACCGCCCAATCCGGAGGCCGCCCGCCCCTCCGTCCCCGCCCCGGCGGGTTAAGGCGGCGGCGGCGGTTTCCGGCGCGGCTGTCGGAGGCGGAAGCGGCGGCGGCGGCAGCGCGGACATGGCGTCGGGCGGCGCCAGCGGCTCCCGCTCCCCCTCCCCTGCCGAGCGCCTCCCACCGCCCTTCCCCGACCCCCACGGCGGCGACAGCGACGCGCCGGGGGCGGCCGACAGCGACACGGAGGGCGAGGACATCTTCACCGGCACCGTGAGTGCGGGCCGCGGACGGGGAAGGGGGGCAGCGGCCCGGGGGTAAGCCCGGCCCGGGGCGGCTGTGAGGGAGGAGCTGCGGGCCTGGTCCTGGCGGTGCCTGCGGGTGGGCCCTTCTCTGAGGGGAGGCCCGGAGCCTGTAGGCAGCGACCTGGCACCCTCCGGGTTTGGTTAAAGGAGGGGGGGACCCCCCAAAATAAAATTGAGGGGGGCGGTTGCTCTGGGTCTTGCTCCTGTAGGGAGCTTGGAATCTCCTCCCTCCCTGAGAGCACTTCAAATGGCAGGGGTGGCTGCAGAGTGGGGTGCTGTGGGGGCTAGGGGGTGTCTAAGGCCAGGGAGTGGGCCCTGGGGTCCCTCCTGACGGTGGGACTGTGGTGACAGACCGGTCTCTGCGTCCCGGGGTTATAACCTGCCACTTCTTGCAGAGCCTGAGCGTTTTGAAGGAGCCCGTCAGCGTGAAGATGTCCCTGCGTGGCTCGGGCACGGTGCTGGGGGCAGCTGCCTGCTTCTCTGTCCTTCCCCAGCTCAGGGCCGGGGTAACTGGTGAGCCGGCTGCCTCGCTGGTTTGGAGCCTGGTGGCAGCCACAGCTCAGCGTCTCTGCTGTGCAGCTTGTGAGGCTTCACAGGGAAAAGTCCCCTGTTTTCCTTCCCCCCACTGCCAGCTCTTGTCCCTTCAGCTTCCACACGTGGTGGCTGAGGTGGTGCTTGCTGCCTTCAGTTTGGTGTTGGGGGATGAACCCCCTTGTGCAGTGGGAGTGAGGTGACAGGAGGCATCTGACGTCCTCTGCTCACAGGTGAGGAGGGTCGCCAATGTTTTGGTGACCTCCTTTGCCTTGTACCAGGAGAACTGGCTGCAGGAGGGTCTAGGAAGGTTTTGTGTTCAGCAAACCAGATCACTGTGGGGCTGCACAAATTCCCTGCTGAAGGTGGAGGTGTGAACGGTGAAGGGTTTCAGCACTTTTTCTTGTTTGTAGTAGTCTCCTGTGTGTGAATCCCTGGTCGGTGAAGGCTGTTGGTGTTGACTCTTGTCACCTGCGCTGGTGTCTGCTCCAGACAGTGACCAGCAGCCAGGAGGGGGGTCAAACACTGGCTGGTGCTTTCCCAGCCTGAACCCCTCCCCAGCCAGCTGCTGGCCTCAGGTTCTTGGGGTCAGTGTCTGCACCGAGCAAGGGCCTCTGCTAGAGGGACCACAGGAGCTGGCTCCTCCAGCGGGCTGATTGCTTGACCCCTGCAGGTTCTAGGGTTGATTTACTAAGCTCTGCTAGCTGAGGCTGGTCACATTGTCTCCTGGGAGGGGTGACATCGTGGCCTGCCTCACCCAGGCTTTTTCCAGCCTGCCTGCTCCCACCGGGCAGGAGGAGTTGGTGTCTCAGACAGAAAGTTCTCCAGAAACCTTCTCCTCTCTCCAGTTTCCCAGCCCTGATGTTTTCCCTGGGCTGGGCTCAAGGAGGCTTCAAGGAGGAGACCATGTCTGTGAACATACAAACCTACCCGTTACTGGGAGCGGAGCTGGCCTGGCCAAGCTTCTCCTGCCACCAGCACAAAGCTGGAGCTGTCTCTGCCCTGCTCCTGGTGGAGATCCTCCTCTGTCCTTGAGCCGTGCTTGCTCAGCAGCAGGGTGTCTTCTGCTGGTGGCTTAGCAGCAAGGAAGAAGGCAGGTTTGGGGAGATGTGTGTAGATTCTGCCCTGCGTGAGCTTGAGAGGGCGAAACTCTCACGCTGGTCTGGGCAAAACAGAGCAGCAGAGTCATGTTTTGAAAATAACATGGGAACGTGCAACCCTGGCCTTGCAAGAGGAAGCCAACAAGAGTGCAGCCACCACAGGGACCTCCTTCAGCCAGCAACCGAATCGACTGCTAACACCACAGTGACCTACGTCAGGGAAATTTGTAGCAGGTCTCATTCATAGAATCACAGAATGTTTTGGGTTGGAACCGACCTCGAAGACCATCCAGTGTGGTACCTCTGGGTGGCACTAGGGCACGGTGATGGTCTTGAACTTCTCAGGACCTTTCTTTATTGAAGGACTGGAAGATGTAGTAGGTGGCTTGTTGCTTTGTGGTAGAGGCAGCCTCCCAAAACAGACGACTGCCAACTGCTGCGGGCTCTCATGCAAATAAAGCGTCCCTTCACCGAAACTGGAGTCTGTTAATAAGCTAAAGCAGCTTATCAGGTGCTTAGTGTTGTTGTTGTTGAAGCAACTGTCATAACTAATACTTGGCTTTTCTGTGTGACCCAGTGCCTTTGCTTGTCTCTCTGCCCTTGAGCGTTAGAAAAACACTTTGTGTGAAGCAGGGGAGTCGTGCTGGTGAGGCAGATCCACCCGGCTGCTGGTGCTCAGGTGGCTTGAGAGCGCTTAGCAGTGATATGGGAGCCAGCAAAGCAGCATTTGGGTCAGACACAACTCTAACCAGAGCTGGACTTCATCCATCTGTGACAAAAGTTGGGCTGCCGGGTGACCACAGTTCTCTCGAGGGATGCCCTCAAGTGCTGGCTCTTCTGCCCAGATGTCTGGTTCCCCATGGCAGGCGTCAGGCTCACACTGGGGGACCTAAGGAGCTTCTGCTTGCATGCAGAGTGATGGTTGGGGTGGGCTAAATCAGACTGCTGAGATGGTGGGTGTTGTGTCATGGACTGTAAAAGAGGCCATGGCTCTTCTCTAGTGG